GGTTGCTGCTGCTGCTAAGGTGGAGGCTGCTGCTGCTGTGGTGGATGCTGCTGCTACTGGTGCCGGTGGTGCTGCTGTTGCTGCTGCTGCTGCTGTTGCTGCTGCTGCTGCTGTTGCTGCTGCTGCTGCTGCTGCAGTTGCTGCTGCTGCTGCTGCTGCAGTTGCTGCTGCTGCTGCTGTTGCTGTTTGTTGTTTTTCAGGCGAATGCGAGCAACGAAAGGCGCTCCAAAATATCGCAATCCCTGAAGCGAAAGGTAAATTCAGAACGCAAACCCTAAACCCTAAACCCTAAACCCTAAACCCTAAACCCTTGACTAGGATGGTTTAGGGTTTTAAAGGAATGAGGGTTTGGGGTTTATAAGCGTTGAGGGTTTGCTAGTTGGTGCACAACTGGTTCTATCTAGACTGTAGAGTTTACTGTCTAGGGTTTAGGGTTTAGGGCCTAGGGTTTAGGGTTTAGGGTTTAGGGTTTAGGGTTTTGTTGCAGTGGCAGGACGAGCACTTTCGGGCGAGGATGAGGAGCTGCAGACTTCCTTTTTCTGATGAACGCAGAAGAAGGCTCAGCGAGGCCATCGCGTGAGGGTTTTGAGTTCATTAGGGTTTAGGGTTTAGGGTTTAGGGTTTTGTGTTCGTTAAGGTGTTGTGTTTATTAGGGTTTAGGGGTTAGTAGGGTTTAGGGTTTATTGTGTTTTGTGCTGATTAGGGTTTACGGTTTATTTGGGTTCATTAGGGTTTTGGGTTTTCTGCGGTGTACTAGGGTTTAGGGTTTACTAGGGTTTATTAGGGTTTAGGGTTTATTAGGGTTCACACAGGCTGCGGGTTTAGGGTTTAGGGTTTAGGGTTTAGAGTGTTCAACTCGTGGCAGATAAGATATCTTGTGTTTAGGGTTTAGGGTTTCCAGCTGCTCTGACAGCTAAGCTAGCTCGCGTCTAGGGTTTAGGGTTTAGGGTTTAGGGTTTAGGGTTTAGGGTTTGTGCAGGCGTCTGTGGCATGGGGATTCTGTTTATCGAGAGAAAACCCTAAACGGTATTCGGCGGTATATACACCTCAAAACAAAAACACAAAAAAAGAGAAACACAGCAGGACTGCAGCTTCATCTCTCTGTAAACCCTAAACCCTAAACCCTAAACCCTAAACCCTAAACAGTAGGCAGGAGAGGAGAGAGAGAGAGAGAGTTGTGCGGCTTGAAGGTTTAGGGTTTAGGGTTTAGGGTTTGCTGTGTCTCTGCAGCAACAAACCGGAGACAGACTCTGGAGCTCCATGTACACCCGGCTCGTCGCGCAGCAGCAGCAGCAGCAGCAACAGCAGCAGCAGCAGCAGCAGCAGCAACAGCAGCAGGAGCATCAACAGTAGCACCACTAGCAGCAGCAGCAGCAGCAGCAGCAGCAGCAGCAACAGCAGCAGCAGCAGCAGCAGCAGCAGCAGGCCTTTTGGATGTTGCTGAAGAGGTTTTGTATTTCTTTTTCTTGTTCGCTGAGAAGCAGCTTCACGCGGCGTCGCTGCATGCAAACCCTAAACCCTAAACCCTAAACCCTAAACCCCAGCAGTCTGGGGGTTAAAACTAGAAAACGGATATCAGGGTTTAGGGTTTAGGGTTTAGGGTTTCTGTATAAAAGGAGACAGTCTCTGTATAAAAGGAGACAGAAAGGAGACAGTTTCTTTTTCCTTTTTCTGTCTCTACCCAACAGCAGACGAGGCTCTTTGTTTTTCTTTATTTCTTCAGCTGTACGTACACCGCATCTCAGTATTTCAATACTCCTCGCTCAGTGGACTAGCTAGCTGTCTCTCAACACCGCTAGCTAGCTACATGGCTAGCTGGCTAGCTAGCTAGGTGGCTAGCTGGCTAGCTAGACACACGACTTCTTACCCACCTAGCTAGCCAGCTAGCTCGCTAGCTAGCTAGCTAGCTAGCTATACAGTTAGGTAGCCATCGAGCTAGCCAGCAGGACGGCTAGCTAGCTA